CATACTGATAACACCCAGCACCATAACTCCATATGATCTCACCCAGTGTCTTCACATAGATATTAAATAACATCGGAGACAAAATAGCTCCCTGAGGGACCCCACAAGTGAGGTCCCTCTTACTGGAACTACAGTCCCCAAGCAGCACCCTCTGGGACCTACCCAAGAGGAAGGACCAGAACCACTGCAAAGCAGTGCCCCTGATACCTAACCCCTTCAGGCGGTCCAAGAGGATGCCATGATCTATTGTATTGAAAGCCGCTGAGAGTTCTAGGAGCACCAACAGGGTCACACTACCCCTGTCGGTGCTCAGACGCAGATCGTCGGTCAAGGCAACAATGGCAGTCTCAACCCCAAAGCCTGTCCTGAAGCCGGTTTGAAATGAGTCTAGATAATCGGCTTCAGGACAGTTTGGAGCTAAAGAGCAAGCAATAGTCCCATGTTAGCCAATAGCTCCTGGGATCTGGGAGCTGAAATTCCCCGGCCCTTAAAGGGGACAGGTTGCCTACCCCTGGAATAGCGTGTACCAGTTGTTTATTGTATCCCAGAAGGAAATACACAGTCAACTGTTTTGTTTGGCCTGGGATTATTAAAGTGAAAACAACCCATGCCATGTGATGGTGGGCTTTTACAAGTGAGGGTCAATAAATATGAATACAGAGTGCCCTTGTTATTTGTTGGAGTTTGGTTCCAGAGACCCCCCCCCCCATGGATACCAAAATCCATGGATGCTCAAGTTGCATTAAATACAATGCACAGTAAACTGGTGTCCCACATATAAAGTGGCATATAGGTACCGGTATATGTATATATTCATGCTGTGGATGGATGAATCCATGGATTAAAAAATCAGTGGATAGGGAGGGCTAATCTTATTAAACTTTGGTGCATAATGCAGGAAAGCTCTGTTTATCTATCAACATAGTGTCCTAAATAGAAGAAAAACTTCTAAAGGCTGGTCATGAATCTTCTAAATGTCCCTGAAGCAGAATACAAACTAGAATTACCCAGTATCCCATGTCTTCTGTAGGTAAGAACATGTGGGATCTGTGTCCTGTTAAAAATGGCAGCAACTATTTGATGTGTCTTGCTTGGCTGTGTCAAAACCATTTCCACTCTGTTCCCAAGTCCAGTTTGCCACATTTTCTGAGCTGAGCTTGTTGCTCTTGTCATGAACCAAGGTTCTCTATTGTTCTTTTGATCCAGAGAGAAATTTAGCTACCCTAGACTGCAGGATTTTCAATATAGACACATGGGAAACCAGATCTGGGTTTAGACACTATGCATATAACATTTATTAAGACATACGGGTGAAACAATAAGAAATAAGACAATAAGAAATAGCAAATAACAAATAAGACAATCATGTTAAGTATCAAGAGCTCTTTCACACACACCACATTCATACAACAGACTCACAAAACATGGCCTCTTCGCTGGATGATGGATCAGTTCATCCCCGAAGAGCTGGGATGACACCTTGCCCAGGTAGGTGCCAACAAAGTGAGGCTGGTAGACTACTTCTTTTATACCTTGTTCATCTTTCTTTTGATGAAAACATGTGTTTCCTTGGTTTCCTTAGGGCCTTTGCAGACTGCTAGAAATAGTGAAAATTGAGTCCACTTTAAGTGCCCTGGCTCAGTGCTAGGAAATCATGGGAATTGTATTTTTTTCTGAGACATTGAGCCTTCTCTGTCGGAGAGCTCTGGTGCCACAATAAACTACAGTTCCCATGATTCCCTAGCACTGAGTCAGGGCAGTTAAAGTGGACTCAATTTGCACTATTTCTACCAGTCTGCAAAAGCCCATAGTTTCAAAAAACAAACAAAAAAACCAGTGTCTTATCTTGTTGATATTAAAACATCTTGAACCCTCATGCCAAGTTCTTATCAGTTGATGCAGCTTGGAATGTCCAGCACACCTTGTTTGTCTTGTTTTGCAAATTCCATCTCCTCCAGCCAACTCAACATTCCTTTTAATTCCTCGCTTTCAATGTCCAAATCCTTTCCACATCAATGCATTGCACGCAACCATGTTCTCTGGTTTGGGACCATACAGTCAGCTCGGAACCCACTCATTCATTACACTCTTATGCCTGTTTCCACAATCTGCTGTTCCAGAAGCAGTATACCTTCCAACCCTTATCGTCACAGTTTCTGTAGGTGGGTCCTAGTGCCATCACAAGAATTTACCTCTGTGATATCACAAGGCCCCATCCCCTGATATCAATTTTTGACCCTGAAATCTTGGGAAAGAGGTTGCTTGCTGACTAGGAAATCCTTTTGGATCAGAACTAGCAGCAGGGAGTGGGGTAGTGATAAGTAAGGAGAAGGAAGCACTGAATTGGGAGGGCCAAAAAAACAAAGCACAGAGGTACTAGATTTGGACCTTGATACTGAGTCTAAGCAAGAAACTTCAGACAGAGAATCTTATGTCAGAACCTTCAGTGACTGCAATCCCTTTGTTGGATATCTCTGAGATTCTAGCAGCTGTCTATAAGGATGTGTCACCCGTTTTGCTTAACACCCTAGGCAAGGAATGTTGCAAAGGTAGGTGAGTTCCAAGTGAAAGACCATATTACAGGTGGATTGACTCAGTCAAAGGAACCACAACTGTGGGTTTGCAAGACGTCAGCAGAGTTGATAGTAACAGAGTCTCTTGGAGGT